TGAATGGCAGCGCAGCCTTCCAGCGTATCAGCCACTCCTCCCAGTTTTGTGTCACCAGCGAACTTGCTGAGGGTACACTCTGTCCCCTTGTCCAGGTCATTGATGAACAAGTTGAACAAGACTGGGCCGAGTACTGAGCCCTGGGGAACTCCACTAGCTACCAGCCTCCAACCGGACTCTGCCCCACCAATCAGAACGCTCTGAGCCCTGCCACTCATCCAACTCACACTTTTTGAGCTTCCCTATGAGGATGTTATGGGATTTATTAATTATAATAAATTATAACAGATTTGGTAAATCTAGTGTGTTCTTAATGAATTGTATCTCACACTGCTAAATGTGCACACAATTGGCAGAGATGAAGGCCAAAACAGATTACATGGTTATTGTTCATGCCCACCTCCTTTAAACAAAGCAGAGGGAGAGGCCTGGAAACCGAAATACAGTGTGTGATAATTACTCGGTATCACAGCTATTAGTAGGGTCTGGTTTATTTTGACATCATTCTAACAGAAGAGCTTTCAGAAGGCAGTGTTTCCAAGATGAGTATAATATTAATAGAACAGGTATTAAGAAGCTAAGGTAGTTAGAAGTGCGTGGCAGACATAAAAACAGTGAAGTGCAGAATAGATCCATTTAACAGTACCTGCAAATCACCATCCAGAAGTAGTCTCATATCTCTGCAATGCAGTGCTTCTCAGAAGAAAACACTGTTATTCCCTCAGTTTGAGAGATATCTCAACAGTATGTCAACAGGCTTAAATAATATGCAGTAATTGTAGTCAAACTCACCCAAGCAAGTTTTTAAAGCAAAGGCTAGAATTTACTTTTCTCTGGCTCTAGCACATCCTAGTGTGGTCTTCAGCAGAACAATTTTCAGTCAAAGAGCAAGTTCTACATTCTGTGAGTTGATACTTCTGGGTTTGATGAAGACTGCAGTAGAGAGAGAGAGCAATGTTGTTAAGAGCTGAATTTTGCAGTATTCCCTGATGGAAACAAAATGGGAAGTACTAAATTATTGACAATTCTTTTTTTTTGTTGTTTTTTTGACAGAGGAAGTGGCAGAAACTCTGCTGAGGTTTATAGCACCATTTTGCAGATCCCACTGCTCTGACTACTTACTATCAGGCAGAATGTAATTTTAGATCTAAAATAATCTAATATCTAAAAGCAGCCACAGTGAGTTTGAAACATCACTGGCCCTAATTCTAGCCCATTCTATGTATTGCAGTTAATGTCATAACTCAGAAGTATCAGCTACAGGTACTGCTTTACCATTCAAACCAACAAGTGAAATGCAGTGCATATATTATGCACCTGAAAATGCAACCTTTTCCAAAATCTAGGCTCTTTGCAGAAGACAATGAAGAATCAAGTGAAAAAAAAAGTGCTATATTAAAATATCATAAAGTAATGTAAAAGTAAGTTTGAATTAAAAGGACTCTTTCATTTGGACTGATTGTGATTAGCTTTGCAAAGCAGAGTAATCTGTGGTGGAAAATTGGAAGGAAGGAAATTAATATCTCATCACACTGGTTTCCTACAGATAATATCAAAGCTACTCAGTAAATGCAGATTTTGAAATAGTATGTAAATAACACAAAGAGGTTAAGTCTATTTGTAATTCAGCATCTAGCACTTTGGCGAAATATGTTTCAGAGAAGAAACAACAGATGCTACTTTGGTCACTCCATATTATCAGCTATTGACTCATTCAGTGTCTCCACTATAAAAAGGACAATAACTGATTTAAACCTAATCTGCTAAGACCTGTAATTGATTTCCTTATTGGCAGAGAAAGAAAAATGAAACCTTTCTTCCTTCCTGTTATATACATAATAATTAGGCAACGAAAGACACTATGATACCGAACATCCTAGTTACTGTGCCATATATGTTTGTAGACATATATTAACTTAGTGTTCTAGTGTTCCCTTCTGCAAATTTCCATTAAATAGGATTTTTACAAGGTTACTGAAGGTAGTGGAATGTTTCCACAGATCACAAAGGACAGCTATAAGCACATGGGAGATACTGCTAATGACCCAGGGTGGTATTCATCCCATGACATTGCATTTGGCAGATGATCTATGACTATAGGGATCCTTTGCCCCTACTTAGAGCTCATTCCAACTTTCCTCCTTTTTCCTACTCTGCAAATGAAGCACTGCGCAGTGCTGCTTCATCATCCTGACACTTTGCACCAGCTCACTGCATTGTCAGCCATAGCCACCCAAATTTGAAATACACTTCTGCTGCCTTGGGGCTCCATCAATACACACCAAGGTAAAAGGAAAAGGAGGAATAAGATTTTGTCGCACATAGGTAATATATTGTTTCTCTGAACATAAATTCCAATTGTAAAAACCATGTATTCACTTTTACATCTTTTCCAAAGGATTACCAAACACCATAGATTTTTAAATCCTGCTGTCTCCCTGACCTGAAGACCATTATGGTTTATAAATAAAAACCATAGTACCCTGAGAGTTTCCACTGTGCATCAGTCTCATTGCAGCTACAAATATTCAGTCAGAAATTATTTTAATAGCTTTCCTCCTCCACATAAACATTTCCTTCTCACAAAATGTGTTTCTTATATAAATTTTGTCTGATTTAAGAAATAATCTGGTTTAGTCTGGGACAATAAACAATAAATTGCTTTAATCATAGTGGGATTTTAAGAATTGTGAAGTTTTTGGTTTCTTCTACTTAACATTCATAGTTAAACTGAAACAAAAGACTTTTCTTACCAATAACTGTAACATTGATAACCATATACCATGTTATAGATATGGGAAGAAAGGCCTAAATTGATGTAAGGAAGCCACTAGTTCCTTATTAGACATTGCATGAATAGATAGCGCTGATTCCTTATCCCCCCCAATGCTGTACACAAAATTATTAGACGCGACGAAGACGATGAAAGGACTAGAGGGCATGATTTATGAGGAACACCTGAGGACACTAGGTTTGTTCAGTTTAGCAACTTCCTTATGAGGGGCAGTGGAGAGAGGTGAAGATCTCTTCTCCCAGGTGTCCAGTGACAGGAATGCAAGGGAATGGCTTATAGCTGCGTCAGGGGAAGTTCAGATTGGATATCAGAAAAAGTTCTTTACTGAGATGGTGGTCAAGCGCTGGAACAAGCTCCCCAGGGAAGTGGCCATGGCCCCTAGCCTGTTGGTGTTCAAGAAGCATTTGGACAACTTTCTTAGATATATGGTTTAACTTTTAGGTTGCCCTGTGTGGAGTCTGGAGTTGGACTCGATGATCCTTGTGGGTCCCTTCCAACTCAGGATATTAAATTAAATTAAAAAGTAATTTAAATTAGATTATTTATAGTCCATTCATTACACTCACTCCTGTGAACTACTAGGATGTCTCATATACTCTAAGTGGCCTGACTGCTGTAACTTCAGGCACCCTGCTCCAATGATCAAAGCTCTTCAGTCATCCACAAAATGGATAAAACGTGCTAGGCAGCAGTACCCGGTAGCCAGTAACAATGCTACTGATGTAGCCACACTGACCTGAAGGTGCCAAAACTAGGTCTGTGCTTAGCCTTTGCTGCTGCTGAAAACATGAAGGAGGTTAGCAGGACAGCTGTGGCAGTGAGTCTCAGTGTCAGCACCTGTTCTTTGAGAAGTGAGCAGAAGTTATCTGGTATTTTTCCCCACAAGTAAGCACATGTTGCCAGTCTAGGATAGACCTGTGACTAGCTAGTTACCTAAAAATTGCAATCTTTGAGATGAAGAATGCCCCTTCTTAAATGGTTTGATAAATTAGAATCAAAGTAAGTGCTTTCTTTTGCATGTTACACTGAACACAAAGGAAAAATAATTTTCCTTTATGCCATTTGCCACATTCTCTTACTTAACACTAAATTATCCCAGGAATGTTTCTCCTCCTCCTTCTCTGCAATGAAATCTGATTCCTTAAAATGAAATGAAGAGAATTACACCCTTTCACTTCATATCTATACCCTGTTTTTTCCTTCTGTTCAGAGCATATTATTTTTCTTTTCCATCTGGATAAAAAAGCCTCTGAAGGATCAGAGCTAGTTAGAAGGATCAGTTAACTTTGGTATATTCATGCATCCATATCAACACTTTAGGATACTCTGGTAGAACAAAACTTGATATGAAATCCCAGTCTTACTCAAATAAATAGTGAAATCACCACCTTCTCTTTCCAAGAAACTTTCACCTTCTGTCGCCAATTAGGCCTGGTTGTCTCGCCTCTGCCTCTCATTCTACACTGACACTGTCTGCTGGAGCTGCAGGCTCTCAGCTCCCTGTTGTAACTTCATATTCTCACATGTAGGTCTGGAGCCTCTTCTGCCTTGAGCAGACTCAGAAGTTGTCAAGTAGGAAGCAATCTGCCATCCCTCTTCCCAGACTTCTTAGAAGAGCATCGACTCAAATGTAAACAAAGAAACACTATTCATCACATATTCTAACATGTAAGCCCAGAGGAAACAGTGCACTTTGAAAAGATAGCAATCTGACAATTTATTCTAATATGTTCCAAAAAGAAATACTTCCATCTGCTCATAGTATAACCCAAGACAGACATAATCCATTATAACATGAGTAGACAGAGATTTGAAGCAAAATATACATAGAAGAAGAAAGAGCACAGTTCTTTTGTTCTTCTTTCTTGCTAATACTATGATAGCAAGGCAAGGGGTGTTCTAAAGATGTCATTTTAACCAAATGTGCCTCCATTAGTACATTTATAGATATATATATAAACACATTTGAATGTCATACTTGAGTATGTAAGTTCATGTAATGTAACCTATTTATTTAGGCACAATTATCTATAATCCGTAGCTATGCATGAAGAGAGATATTTAAAGAGTTATTTAAGAATGATGGGAAGTTAAAAACATATAATCCAGTTATTTCAATAAAGCAGTGCAACTAATACAGTTATTTTAATGAAATATTTAAATGAGTCACATATTCAGGCACGACTCAAACTGCTTCTACCGAACGTGGCCATCAATGGAAAAAAAGAGGAGAGGTTCTTGATTTCACTTAGCTTTGGATCTGAACCAAGAAGACTACATTATCCCTTGTTTTGTTGTTTGTTTTTATGGAAAGACATTTCAGTTGTTTTATGAAGGGCAAAAACTGTCAACAAAATAGTTACTACATTTGTGAAATGTTTCATTCTCAAGCAATTAGCTGCAGCAGTGTTACTGTGAATACTTTTCTTCACTGTTTTGTGGTATCTCAGAAAAACGATACATCTTAGGAAGCAATATGAAAAGGACTGTCGTGGTTTAACCCCAGTCAGTAACAAAGCACCACGCAGCCACTCACTCACCCTCCTCTCCCCCGGTCCCCATGGGTTGGGGGAGACAATTGGAAAAAAAGCAAAACTCATGTGTTGAGATCAAGACAGTTCAATAGGACAGCAAAGGAAGATATTAATATTTAATACTAATACTACTAATAATAGAATATACTGAATATACCAAAAAAGTTATGCACAATGCAATTGCTCTCCACCCACTTACTATGGGGCGTCACAGTCTCCATCCCCAAGCAGCAATCACTGCCCCCCAGCCAACTGCCCCCAGTTTGGGCATGACATCATATGGTATGGAACAGCCCTTGGGCCAGTTGGGGTCAGCTGTCCTGGCTGTGCCCCCTCCCAGCTCCTTGTGCCCCTGGCAGAGCAGGGGAAGCTGAAAAGCCCCTGGCTGGTATAAGCCCTGCTCAGCAACAACTAAACCATCAGGGTGTTACCAACATTCTTCTCATACTAAATCCAAACCACAACACTATGCCAGCTACTAGGGGGAAAAGTAACTCTGTCCCAGCCGAAATCAGGACAAAAATGGAAATTTTGAGATTAAAAAGTGAATATAATATTTGAAACATATTCATCACTAAAAGGGAAAATAAATATGAATAACACCTAATTACAAACAGTTTTGAATCAATTATCTATTCATTTTCTCACCTTTCTGTATAGCTATAGTAACAATCTCTTTAAATGCTAACATATTTTGCATTTTTTGCAACTTTGCTGAATATTCCTGTAACATATCCTTGAAGCTTTACCAAAGATACTTATTTGTAAGTACAAAACCAACAGTCAGACTCCTTGGAAGGCTTTGAAGTTTGTCACTATCAAGTGCACTTATTCATTGCTCACACGAGCTAAATCTTATCTTCATAAAATGAAGACATTTCTACCAAAGATGGGAAGTTTTTTAAAGTATGTTCTCCCCAAGATAATGCAACAGCCTGTAATCTCATGTGAATGAGGAAACAATAGAGACCAAGCTGCAAACCACCCATCCTTCCTTATTTATATTTAATGGTAGCTCTACTCCATGACTAATGAATGAGAAAGTTGACCAGATAAAGGCTGGAAGAACAGTGGTGGAGCCATAGTATCTACTTGCAGTTTTTTGAGAGGCAAATGTTTTTTGTTCCTTTTTCCAGTACTTCAAACCCCTCTGAGATTACAGGATTTTAGCCCACTAACCTGAGATGATGCATCCATTTGCATCTCTTGGAACATTCTTCAGTGAGATGAAATTTACACTGTACTTAGTATAAATGTGGGTAACCAATGACATTAGGGGTTCGCTTCTGGCTGTGGAGACTGAATTTACTAGTCTATTGTGGTTTTGTCCTGTTCAGCCTTACTGACCTTTCTTTAGCCTTCTGGTGTTGGCATTATTTTTGAAGTTGCTAGAATTCTTTTTCCACTGTGACCCAAGTAATGTGCATTATTTCATTACTTAAATTAATTCATTAAAAGATATAAGGGGAGTTTCTGTTAGTGTTCATTAAGCTTCTAATATCTTGTGGGAGCAATACATTACTTATCACTGACTGGGATCTTGACTTTCTCTGCTAACTCTCTATGGGAGCTGAAATAACAGTGAACTGTGTTGTGTCTTCCTTTCTAATTGGATTGCAATTTATATTTTATTATTTGATTTTTTGACCAAAGACATAAAAAGGAAAAAAAAATCAATGCTATGGTTATTAACATTAATATCACAGTAGTAAAATATGCTTCCTCTGCTTCTTGTTGGTTTTAGAGTTATTTTTCAGTACCTTGGCAAACCCTTCACCAGTCCTCAGTCTATTGGGTTGCTTTTGTGCTACTGTATACAGCTTACATTAAAAGTGGCTTCCTCTTTTTTTTAGGAGAATCTGCAGGTCTCAGAGTTAAGTTGGCAATAGTTAGTGTACTCATTTTATTTATGACTTCTCTGACTTTTTATTTGTCCAAGGAATGTAACTAAGGCTGAGAAACAAAGATGAGATTTTAAATAATAATAGTTCATCACTAAAGAACTTCATTTAAGCACACAGAGAAAGCATCCAGATTCCCAAATCAGTGAATAACATTAATAATCACTATGAATATTCTAAGAAATGTAGAGATGTCATAAGCTCTGCACTCATGTTTTAGAATCTGTTGGAAATTTTACTCTGAAGACGGGAAAGCAATATGGTGCATAGTGCTTTTTGGTCTTTGAAATTGCCTCTTCCTGGTGGTGCTGAATATCCCAATTGTCACCAGCACCCTGAGGCTTGAGGCAGTCACCTGAAAGTTAAACAACCACATGGCAGAACTAGTCATCGTACAAACTAACTTGGAGAATATGACATTTTGTATATCCACTCTGCTCTCTTGCCATCTCTTTTCAGATACCAAGTGCCTTCTTCCCATCTAGCATTCCATTTCCTCTCATAACCTGTAGTTGAGACTTTTCATTTCAGCTCTGGAGGAAGTCTGAGTAATATGTAGTGTGACTAAATTGCACATATACACCAGGCAGGGAAAAGAACAAATGTAATTCTAGGCCAACATTTCTGAGGAGAGTCCAGCCAAAGACGGAAATAATTTCTCTGCTATAACTCTTCCCTAAGAGCTCATTTGAATTAATGCTCCAATGGGTGATTAAATTCTTTTGTTACTTCCTTCTACAAAATACATCCTCTACTGAGCACAGAGTATTACAAAAATTAAGAACAACACAGCTTGTTCTCCCCAAAATTAACATTTTCCCAAATACAACTAGATAAATGAAAGGCTATACATAGCAGCAGAATCTAACAGTCCCTCTCATAGCCCGGTGGAACAGACTTTCAAAATGGGTGAATAGAGGTGCAAAAAAATCTATGTGTATGTGTCGTACCGTGCTTCAAAAACTGGGCGAGCTATGGCATTGCAGCAGTACAGGACATTTGATGTGGTTTTAATAGGGCTTTAAAATAAAGCTTGTATCCTGGATCAGGCAAGAAAGAGAATAAAGTTGGATATCCCTTGTTATTCTAATTAAGCATTCTTTGTTAATTAGCATTTAAATTAAATTGAGTCTTCAAATCATGGAACAATTAAGTGGTGCATTTCATGAGCACTGTCAAAAAAATTCACTTTGATGGGAAAGCCAGCAGAAAGAAAATTCTGTTTTCATTGGGTACATTTTACTGTTTACTGCTAAAAATAAAAGATGGGTTTGGCTAGGAAATCCTTTAAGAGTTTTTTTTACTCTGCATAAATGGAAAAGTTGTAAAATTTCTAAAAAAAAAAATCACAAAACTGTTAGATTTTTATAGACAAAAATTGCATTAAATTTGATAGTTACACACAGCTCTGAATCTGTCATCTTAAAGCATATCTATTCCCACTTTTAAAATCAGTATCCATACAGAAGTGGACATGTTTTAGAATAGTAGAAAAATTAAACTCTTTTACGTCTTACAAGTTTCAGTGATCTGATGAGAATATCAGGAAAAAAAAAGTTGGTGTTAGTATTTGTTGAACAACAGCAAAGTCTTTCATTTATGAATTTTGCATAATGACAAATTATGTCAACACGTTCAACCCTTTGTCACCCTTGTGAACTCCGTGTCTTTTTGACCTGGCTGGGAAAATACTAGCAATGCAGTAAAATCTTTTTGGCCTCGGTGGGCCTCAAGAATACATTTGAAGTCAAACAGGTACCACGGGTTTGACTGAGATGGAGATTTGTTCATTGTTTAAAACTTGCAACACATGAATTTACAAACAGATATCACTCTAGAACTTGCTCACAATTATACATGTTACTTTGGTGATTTGGCTGCTATGTATTTCACTAATGTATTCAGTGACATAATTCATCTGCAAATGAGATGCCCTTTTCAATTACATTTCTGGAAAAAGATGTTTTTCTAGCCAACTTTTTGACTACTTGCAGAAGAGTGGGAAAGACTAAATTCTTGAAAAAGTCAAAAAGGTTTTTTGGGGAGGGGGCTTGGTTTATTTTTCTTCCTGTTGGCTAATTTAATTTTGGCTTGCTAGGTTAATACTCTTCCTCCATATTAGACTCTTTCAGTAACAATTATTTGAGTGGTTTTGTAATTAACTGCCACACTGCTTATAGCTGTGTAGGCAAAACTTTACTGTGATTAAATCCAAATTAATTATTTCCACACAAATACTAGCAGAGTGGAATTTGCTTGGGGGGAAAAAAATCTTTTGCATTCTTTCAGCTGTCTCAAATAGAAAATTCATAACCCCTTCCAGAGAAAGCGTTTTTAAAAAGGCAGACTGAAATGCAAAGAATTAAACTAATAGGTTTCTTTATGGCTTAATTAGAATATTGGGTGATATAGTTATAAGACAGGACAGTTTTGGTTAATTTGGCAGCTGTAGACCATGAACCAAGGAAGGTTTCAAAGTAACCCTCTGTAACATCTCATCCACAAATGCACAGAGGTCATGATGGACACCCCTCTCAAATTGCATAACGGTCAGACAGCAGGAAAAAACAGAAAGGCCCAGCTTTAGCCAGAGGGAAGCATTAAGACCCATGGTTCCTTTACTGCTGGGGCAGGGATCACACCACTCACTCCCAGGATGGTGCCACAGCACCCTTCTGTTGTGGTAGTGTGGTGGAAGAGTTAGAGAGCAGCCATGGGTTGCTTTTCCTTTTGCTTTTATACCACATCTTGCACAGATTTTTCTGTCTTCTAAGCAAATAATTAATCTGGATCACTGGCTACCACAATTTCACAGAGGAGGTTTAACTGTCAGAAGCAAAACAGAGTCCTTTCCTGAAACCAGGACCAGGAAGCAGATGATGGCGTACAGCCTTGGTTCAGGCTGGAAGACAACTACCATGGGGTACTTGAAAGTTTTCAGAAGCAAAACTTTGTAAGGGCTTTGTTCTGCAAAAGGACTCACTCAAAGGTATTCCCTTGTAATTTGTGCTTGGTAAGAAGCATTTTTGTCACCACCTTTCCAAGTTTCTGAATAGGTCAGCAGATGAGAATTAATTTTGCAACAAGGGTTATTACAATGGAGTCTGAATCTGACATTCTTAAGGCAAGTGTCAGAGGACTTGTCAATAGAAGGAGACCAGCTGCACTTTCTAAATAAATGAATAATGTAAAAACAATTCTTGCTTTTCACAGATACTGCCCAGTATAACACACAATACTTGGGTTTGCATTTAGCTTCAATGTGGATGTTTTATGTTTACAATGACGCTTTTCGCTGGGGAAGTGACAGTTATGACAACTGATGACAATATCTAGAATGCACTTTATAATTATTGTGCTACAACAGTAAAAAAAAAATCAATGAAACCAATAATATCTAGACAAGCATTATCCTATAGATGAATCAATGCTCTATGACCTGCAGTTCCTCAACCCAAACATAGCTTTCCCTGTGTATCCAAGCTTTCCTCTTACAGTCAAGACTCCAGTATTCCAGTACCAAAATAACACGAGTGACAGTGGTACTGTTTATATCACTGATAGGAATAATCACATTAGCTAACAGCCGATGTCCTGAAATTGCTATTGATGTGTTTTGTAAAAGGACTTGTTTGAAATTCAGTTTGGCCAGTTTGAAGACAGAATTCTGAGAGGAAACATTTTCAGTGGCCTGACAGACCAATTGGTAAAATAGGAATAAACATAAACTAGAGTTAAAAAATTCTTTCTGTCCTGTGAAGCTTTATTAGAGTAGATGTAACTGGAGGGAATATAGAAAGGTATTTCCCTGAAAGTATAATGTAGGTCCATACTCACCACTCATTCTTTATTTAAGGAAGTATGTTGATTATTATGCAAGAAGTGTTCTTTCTACTAGCTTGGAGCATATTTATGCTAAATTCAAACATAATGAAGCGAAGCAAAAAACCAAATGAAAACAAAAAATCACCTTATGCAGATTAGGAAGCCATATTCTGGAAACAGAGTGCAGCTCAACAAAATCAATCTTAAAGTCATAACAAGTCAGGTATGTTCTATATTACATTCTTACTGAAGGATTTGATTTATGACATTTTCAGAATGACATCTGAAAAAGACGTCAGGAATGTAAGACACAGGAAAGCAGTGAAAAGGTTACATACTAACTGCACATATAAATATAATTTCTTACCATTTAGCAGGTTGATAAGCAGACATTTTCTAGTCAGTGTTTCAGCAAGGGGCACAGCGAATAATTAGGAAACCTTTTGCCCTCTTGGGCCTTAAGTTAAAGCGCCTGACTCAGTGATGTCATCAAATAAAACAAGTTCAGCACCTTTTTTGTACATCTAAGAGAAAGTCATTCATAACACATAAAGTGAAAGCGGCGTGGTATCTCTTCAAGAGTGAAATGGATTGCAGCACAGGCTAGGACAGTCAATGTGGGAAATATGCTTGTCTACAAACAGACGTTCAGAGCAATGCAAAAAAGAGTGAAGTATGCAAACACAGGGTAATATTTATGAAGAGTGTTTCAGAGATAATTTTGGATCTTCTAATAATTTGGATTCTCTGATGTACAGTTTCCAAAACCTCAATACTAAGTCATGAGTATGGTTAAAAAGCTCCTGACACGAAGTACTGGGAGCAAAATATGGAATCTAATATAACAACAGGAAAAAAAAGAGTATTTTTACATGCATATATAAAGACTGTGTTATTAGCTGTCCTCACTGCAACTGTTTTTCATTCTCTGAATAAAATTTCTACAGCAATGAATTAAGTCAGAAACGGGATTTTTTGGAAACAAGTATATAATTATACAGTGTGCCCACTCTATTAATTCTTTAAAAGTTATTTATACTAGAATTTTATACAGGAGGAAGAGGAAAAGGACAGGCAATGAAATTATAGAATGCAATAGAGTTTCAAGTTTTGTGATAACTTTCATGGGCCAAACACATGGAAAATTTTTAATTTGTCCAATGATAAGAATAGACAATGAGAAAAAACAGAAATGGTGCCAGTGTAATAATACTACTGTGAAACATTAAAAAATATTAATTCTGCGCTACTTTTGAAAGATGATAACCCTGTCAGTCATATCCTATTCATGGTCATTTTGCCTATGACAGGCTTCTCCAAGACTTCATAGGCTTCTCTCATATTCTCTCCCCAGTTGTCTGTGGAAAGGTCTTTCCTTCTACTCCGAGCTAAGGAAACAGACATATATAGTTGATAATATGGATGGACCATGGCTGTAGAATCAGGCATGATTAAGTGCTCTGTTGCCTTCACTGAGTTTCCTGAAAAATTCTAATAATAGAATCATAGAATCACTTTGGTTGGAAAAGACCTTTGAGATCATCGAGTCCAACCTTTAACCTAACCCTGACATCCCACCACTAAACCATGTCCCTAAGCACCTCATCTATCCTTCTTTTAAATACCTCCAGGGGAGGAGGACTCTACCACCTCCCTGGGCAGCCCATTCCAGAGCCTG